AATGTGAGTGTTGATGCATTGTCTTGTGAAAATGCATATCTAGAGCTTGTTATTAGGGTTCTTGTATGCCATTGCTTGGCTATTCCTTTGATTCAAGCCATTTTGTTGTATTTGGTGAGATTTGGCATGTTTTGGACTTGAATTTGAGCTTGGTGTTGAAATTTCCGAAGGGATAATTTGTGGTATAGAGGTGTACCCACAGGCGAAACGGCAGGTAGGCGTCCACCCGCCGCCCCACCCGCGGGGTACGAGTGGTGTGAGACGTTGGTTCCCGCGGGCGGAACCACGGGTGGGGGTCCACCCGTGGCCCCACCCGCGGGTACGTATGTTGGTGTTGGGCGGGGATTTGTTCCCCGTGAGTGTCTTCTTGATGTTTCGTATGTCTAGAACTATATGGTAGGAATCCATGTAGGTTTTGGTGTCTTGAATCGTGCTAAGTGTTCAACCTTGTGATTCGTTGAACCATGATGAGTCTTGTGTGTTCTTCGGAACTATGTTTGGTTTACCCGTTTGATAAGCATGCTAGTTCGGTGTTTAAATGCTAGCGTGTGTGATTTGTCCTATCCTATTGTGGATGATGACTTGTGTTAATCATTGTTGTTGTCGGATTGTGGTCCGTTCCTTGTTGAGTATGGTTTCATATCTTCGTTGTGATCCGTTGATTGATTCCTGTGATGGTGTGTGTGTGTGTGGCTGTACCTGGATTGCACGATTAATGGTATGGGACATTAGTCACCAAGGTACGGCAGTGGTCCTCGTGGTGGCCATGACGTGATTATGGAGTTTGTGACCTGTGTGTCAGGTTCACGTATTTCTTGGGAGGCATGTGTTGCCAAGGCATGTATTTCCATGTGTGTGATCGGTACCCTCGTGTACTATGAATTGGTGGATTTGTTGGCAGTTTGTCGACGGATGGGGACGCCGGTCCTCAGAGGGAAAAGGTTGGACTTGTATGTACAGGGGTCTTGGAGGTAATGGTTGGAACTAGCTATAAGGTTGGGGGTAGCCATAAGGTTGGAACCGGGCATAAGGAAGGCATATCAATTCGTGATGGGTGATGTCACGAAGGCATGTGTTGCCATTGTTGTGTATTTCTCTATTTGTGACATGTGTTGTCACAAAGGCATGCGTTGCCAATGTGTGTGTCCTTACTCTCTTGATTTATGCATGTCGGGTGATATTCAACTGTGTGATGGTAGAATACGCCTTGAGCCGTCACTTCTTGATGTCTTGGGATGTGTTCCCTTATCTTTGTTGTGAGTGTATTGAGTCTTGTGATTGACTTCTACTCTTGGCTTTAAACATATATATATATATATATACTATATCCCGTTTCGCAAATAATTTTGTATATATATATATATATATATATATATATATATATATATATATATATATATATATATATATATATCCTATCTATGTATGATATTTCACATGTAATTGTGGGTTACCAGCATCATTCGCTGACCGGGCGTCGTCCCATATATTTATGTGTTTCTTTCAGGTGCCAAGTAGGGTCGAGCGCGATCTAGAGACAGATAGAATAGATCCCTCAATCCTTGTAGTATGTTTTGGCCTGTGTGCCCTTTGCTAGACTTTAGACTTTTTGTTGTTGACCTTGTTCCTTTATAGACAGATTATGTTGATGTTGTTTACGCCTGTGCGTTCACCTTTGTGTGGACGTGGCATAACACTCTACGTTTTCCATCTATTTCATTCTTAGACTTCCGCTGTGTATGCTTTTTATGGTTAGATTATCTGCATGATTAAGTTTTTAATCGGTATGGAAATCGGGGGTGTTACACTAATCCTTTGTCTACCACCACCACCACGGTTGCCTTTTAGGTTGGAGAATGCAATGTCTTCCCGATATCCATCTTCACCATACGGAAACAACAATGGGTATTGCAGTGGCAAGTAGGAAGGATTTAATTCACTGATTCTCTGCAATTGCCCACGCTTAGTTTGAACCACAATATCACGCTCACCAATATTGGTATCAAGATCTCCAACTATTAAAGCTGCTACTTCAGAAACTTGAGGTAGATTGTATGTCCTTGCATCTTTAGTGCGCTTGCCCAACAACTTAATCTTCACTTCAGTGCATGGATTACTATCAAGCTCAGACATAGCCATCCAAAATGACTTAATCAAAACATTAATATTATCTAGCTCCCCCTGAATGACATTCGCTATTTCTACATGAATGTCATCTTGCTGACCATCACCCCTAAATGAATGAAAAATATTAATTTATAAGGCTTTCAATAACAATACGTAATTCGATGGTAAGAAGCACAGTTTGATTACCTGACAGCATTGATACGATTGTTTTTTTTTTTCATTAGCTGTGTCGTATATGTATGGGCAAAATGGGGCGGTTGGCCTTCTTCTGGAAGTAGACTGCCCATTAGATGATAATTTTGTCCACTTAATCGGAAAACAGGATGTCCGCCTCCCTTGTTCACGCTGGTGTCTATTTTACCACCCATTGATGTGAAGCAGGACATGTTGTTGTACGTTCTGATGTTTTGGAGGAATTTTCTTGATAATTCGTCATTGCCGAAAAATAGATCATATATACCTTTTGGTGTCAACGGTATCGCCGACAACATAATCTTCGCATTGTTGCAGCACAGTGAAAACATCGGAGACCCTTTAGTGGAATTTTTTTTTTGTCTTTTCTCGAACCAAAACAACGCCCCACAATGGTCGCAAATATTCGTTATTGCATCACCCAAATCACAATACTCATCTACATTAAAAGCATGTTTTAATAGGCATCCATATAATGCGTGCAATAATATTAGCTATGAAATTGTAATACATACCCTGTGACAATGTAGAGGATGTTGCAATGTCGCAATGTAGACATCTATCCTCAACATTACCAAGCAATTGTGGACTGACTGTAGTTTCTTGTGTATGAGTGGGGCAACCTAATGGACAAAATTTTTGAGAGCATTCATTTATACCTAATATAAATGTGTTTAACACCAAATTATTGCATAACTATAATGCTTATAACGATTTATTATAATAGGAAAAATATAAAGGAGTTGCATTGTTCCCTATTCAATTAGAATACGTACCATGTGACATTGAGCTTGTTTTTGCCATATAGGAACCCACACGTTTAGCCTCAATAGGTAGACCCAAATCTGAATTGACTTTAGTTAATCTTAGTATGAATTGGGCAAGCTGTTTGGCAATTAATTAGATAACATTCATTTATACCTAACACATTTGCAATTATTACCTGTTGTGCCATTATTTGCTGTTTGGATCAGTGAACAGATAGATTCTTCTTCAAACGCCGATAGCAAGTCTCTATTTACGACATGATCTTCTTTAGTAGTAGCATGAGAAATTCTAAAGTATTTTTTGTTGCATCCACTTATAACATTACTTATGTTATGTAAAGGTTGTCACATGGCTACTTTATCTTGCGCGCTACAACCTATATTCAACAGAATAATAAAATAAACAATTAACTTTTACTTTATAATCACAAAAATGAATTAAGATATGAGTATAGAAAGTTACCAATTAAGCAAGATGTCGGTATGGTTGATATTGGTTCTTATTACTCTCCTAAAATAAAATGCTTGGAATTGTTTGAGCCTATGTGTATATTGCAAGTACCTTTATTACACATACATAATAATTTACATTAAAGATATATTAGTAAAGACACATAAATGTATATCGAAAAATTGTAAGAGTTTTACCGTTAGTGATGTTACTCATTAGTGTAATATTTTGAGTAAAACACCCGTCAATAGAAAATCTTCTAGGAATACTTGCATTACTTTGTTCTATACCTTGACCATCATTATTTGTTGATGATGAATTTTCTAAATTCTCTGAGATATACATGAGTAAAGAAAATATAATTTAAAACTATCTTACACATAACATAAGTAATTAGACCATTATTAAACAACCTAAATTTGTAAGTGAAAAAATCAATCCAATCCAAATAACATAAGTAACTATCTTATTAATATAGTACATATAATATAGTAGTAAAATTAACAGAAGTGCTATAATAGTATATGAATGACTTAATGAAAAACGAAGAAAATTCCAATTATATCACACATTCTTGAATTTTTTTTATTATTTTTTTTTGTATACGAAATTTTTAGTCGTACTTACAAATGGTACACATAAACCCCTAATTACAATTGTATTGCACATAAACCCCTAATTATCTACAAATTTAGAGCTTAATTAGCTTCAACCAATTATTATATAATTGTTTAATAGATAGAATAAATTATGTTAATATTCTCAGAATAACAAATTAATATTTTCAGAATATTATATAATGTTAAATATATCTTTATATAATTAAATATAACAATATATATAAAATATCTAATCTAATCTAATCTAATTTAATCTATGTCATCTATCTATCTAATCTAATCTAATCTAATCTAATCTAATCTAACTCTATAATAAAGCAGGAACTTCTTACCATTTTCATTTTCCCGCCCAACAAAAACGCTGTCGTTTTACCTTGCTGTATTCCGAGTTTTAACATTTAATGTCGTTCACATTACAATGCACATTCCCATAAGTCTCAGCCGTTAGTATAATTGATTTGTACACTACTTTTAAAAGGCTTTGTGTTACCAATGTATATAATAACTGCCTAATTAAATGCTATATCACATTTACGAAGTAGCATACATTGTAAAACGAACAAAAAGTATATACATTTCAAAATATATATTAATAAATTAAAAAGCATTAACTACTTAGCACCTTTTACACTATATTGTTGGTATATATATGTATTGTAATATATATATATATATATATATATATATATATATATATATATATATATATATATATATATATATATATATATATATAAGTAAATTATTATATATCATAAAAAAATGTTGAGAATTATTGCAGACTAGATATAAGCGAATAAATAAATAGTTGAGTCAATGAAATAAAATTTAAATTTAAATAAATTTAAATAAAGCAACAACATTTAATTCAAGCTTGGAATTCCAATAATGTGGATGATCTTGAAAATTTTTCAAGAGCAGCCATGACATTAATTCTTTAAGCCTATAAAAGGCCCCATTCACAACCAATGCTTCGTCCAGATCTTCATTGTTAGCCATCAGAGCATATTTTTCTTCATCACCTGCGAAGTAAAATAAAATGTCTTCCATGTTTGTACCTGTGAAAGATATCCACCCTGTACATAAATTATGAGGTATAAGAGTAAGTGCTGTTAGGGTGTATGAAGTGCCTGAAACAAGGGGGAGGGGGAATACCAGCAAGAGTCTTGAGTTTGTGCTTCATGATGATTAGGTAATGCTATCTTTGTTTTTACTGCACTTTAAGTAGATTTTCGGCAATTTAAAAACACATATGTTTAGTTTTTAAGAACTGTATCTTTGTTTTTTATGCAAGTTGAGACCTGTAAAATACCTAAGCAAATCAAAAAATGGTTCTGCTGCATTTCCAAAAGGCATAACCTCTAATATATTCAGTAAGAACACCAATGTGTAAAGTATATTTACTGCATTTTGCTGTTGCATTTCTTGTTCAATCATCATGAACCTGTAATTTTAAACAGTAGGAGGACCTGTAACTTTAAAGTAGATTTTCTGCACTTTAAAAACACATATGTAAGATTTTTAAGACCCGTATCTTTCTTTTTTTATGCAAGTTCAGACTTGTAAAATACCTAAGCAAACTAAAAAATGGTTCTGTTGCATTTCCAATAGGCAGTAAAGTACATTTACTGCATTTTGCTACTGCATTTCCTGATCAATCATCATGACCTTGTAATTCTATACAGTAAGAAGACCTGTATCTTTAAAGTAGATTTACTGCACGTTGAAAACACATATTCAGTAAAGTTGTGTTATTGGCATGTTGTAAACAACTCTCTAAAGTATTTCTTATTGGCAGGGAGACTTTATACATGCCAATATTCAGAAAGATGTTGTGAAATACAGAGATATTTTGAAAGAGGGGCAGTTGTATGAGATCAAGAAAAAAACTGATATGAACTATTGAGTGAAGTGTTTTGTGTCAGATTTAAGCACTGTGACAGTGCTTTTATTTTGAAAACAGTATTCCTATTTGTGTTCCTAATTAAACTTTGAAGACAATTGTTAGAAATGGAATCAGGATTATCTTATCCTACCTTTTTTGCCTAATTGTTATCTTTTCTATTTGTTCTGCTATTATTTTTAACATAGTTTTTAGGATGCTTAGGTTAATGGAGTTTGGGTCAACATTCATCACCAAAATGAGAGCAATCTGGAGCTGGAATGCTTTGAAGGCAGAATCATGGAAGAATAGGACTTAGAGTGTAGAAACACTATGTAACTTTTAAAGTTTTTTTTTTTTTTTTTTTTTTTTTCAACTTATGATTTAGAGCACTTGCAATGTAGTCTCTGTATTGACTATCTTAAAGTTACTACTATGTATTTTTTTTGCAACTTCTAAGTTAAAATTAGAACACAATTGTTAAATCCATCAAGAAATATAGACTATTCACAAATAGATATCAAAACACACCAACAATGAGATGTAAAAAGGTTTCCAAAAAGATATGTTTAAGATAAATACATTATGAAAAATATTGTCAAACAAAGCAAGCATCAGATATATTATATATGTATCAAGTTGCAAAAAAAAATGGATAAAAACATTCACTTGGAGGGATAAATGGAGACAAATATTGTATCACACTATTTCTTTGTGGGAAAAAAAAACTTTAATAAAACCAAAAAAAAAAAAAAAAAAAAAACAACTATAGGCATTTAGTTATAAAACAAACAACTTTAATCAAAGCTGGACTTGCTGTTTTCTCAGTTTTATCATTTCTTGCAACATAAGTCAGGGCAGTCCATTGGCTGAGATTATTGTGCAAATCAAGTTGATCATATGAGATGAAGCTCCAATGATGCACAAATTTTGTTTTGAAGCCCTCGACCGAACTATGAGGGATTTGTTGCGCTCCAGAAATCCAAGTAGTTATGAAATGATATTTTGGTGGTAAAATAGTTGTTTTTGGTGGCGATTTCAGGCAAATTCTACCAGTAATTTCAAAGGGCACAAGACAAGATATTGTTGGGGCGAGCATAAATTTCTCATATCTTTGGAGATCCTGTAAAGTATTTAGGCTAACTAAGAATCTACGCCTAAAAAGTGTACAATCAGAGATTGAGACTAAAGAGATTGAAGAGTTTGCAAACTGGATATGTAACACCCCGAAATTTTAAAATTTTTTAAAACTTATATAACAAAAGTCAATTCTCATTAAATCCCAAAACAGAGTAGTACTAAACATACGAGTGCGGGGTGCTATGCCACAGTTGAGCTGGAGAACTCAGATGCACAGGCTAAACTAACTAAATATCCTCAATACATCATCATGACACGCAGGCCGAAAGGAAAAACTATCTATCTACTCCAAGTTCCTCTAGCGCGCTCTGGGAGCTAATCATCTGTGCCTGAAAGCCAAATATATCTGTTCAGCGAATGATGCCGGTAACCCACTCCAACGCGTTGAAATACATTATAGATAGATATATATAGATATACGAAAAATCACTTTGAAGCAGGAAGATATATACTTAAGAGACTCTAGTTTTAAAACCAGGAATGGACTCAGCAAATAGGGGTAAGCACAACAATCAATGATAAAAGTTAAGTAGAATCATCATAAAGAATACGCAGCTAAGGCCACAGTCTATTTCCAAATCAATCATATCATCATCCAATCATCATTTGTGACACTCAATCACACTGAGCTGGCGCCACGGGACCAATCGCATGCCCCGAACATGAGGGTTAGCGCATATAGCACTAACACGGCCCCGCAGCACCCTACCTCATACCACAGCATGAAGGGAGTTGATCGCAACCAACCCTTTAAAGACCGCTGACGAACTCAACGTCGGACCACAATCCTACACACCGCTGACGCGCCCAGTCGGTGGACTGTGATCCCCTTTACAAGGGGAGACATACGACCCTACACACCGTTGACGGGCACAGTCGGTGGACCGTAGCGGATCAAGCCCTACACACCTCTGAGAGACTCAGTCGGTGGGCGAAGATCCTCGGAGACTACGACCCTACACACCGCTGGCCCATCACTCGGTGGATCGCAGCCAGCCGTAGCCCTACACACCGCCTGATTACTCAGGTCGGTGGACTATAGCCTTCCTCGGGTTTATTGGCCCTACACACCGCCTGGCGCGTCCAGTTCGGTGGGTCATCGTACCCGAGGCCCATGTGGACCGCAACCCAAGAAGCGAATCACTGACCGCAGCCAGGAGGATGAACCGCAGCTCATACGTAACCAACAGTGGACCGTAGCCCTATATAATATTTATATACCTGACCGATCGCAACCGGCCTGGTTAACAATTGGGATGGTTCTCAACCCATCCAACTGCCCGTATAGCCAATTTGATCGCAACCAAATTGGGGAATCATGCATCACATAACACACAATAGCACATAGTAGCACATAATAGCACATTGGGAAGGGGAAACACATAAATAAGCTTACGTGTGATCATTCACATACTAAGAATAGTCCTAAGGGGTTCATACGACTTCCACCTAGGTCAACGGGTTACCGATTCAACTAGCATGCAATGCCTAAGACTCTTTTATCCTACGAACGGTACCCAAAACATCAAACTAGACTTAAGTACGACAAACGGGGTCGGTTGGGACACCACGGGGGAATGGGGAACATCAAACGGGGAAGCCAAAGACCCGGGGTGGGTATGAACCAGCGGGTCTGCTCGCCGGAGATCATCGCCCGGGCAGCGGGTTGCCGGCGGGTGAAGCCTGCCCGTTGCATGGCGGTGATTTTCGGGCAGTGGGTAGGTGGTGGGTACCCCTACCCCCCACTGACTCTTTCATCACAATTATGTACCGGGATCCTTTGTGGAACCTGAAACCATGCTTAGACACTTTTAAACGCAATTAACGACACCACGTAGGCAATTAATGGATCAAAAGCAAGAATCATGTATAACTCATCCTATTACGACTTCTAAACATAATCAACACCCGAACATGCAAATTCCCACCCAAATATATATATCAAGAACATTACAATACAAATTCCCAATCCACCCTAGGGCTCTATTCCCTCCCAAATCATCAAAATCACAATTTATCTTTAACATCAAGAAATATCAAGATTTGTCAATGTTAGTGTTTTTTTAAATGTTCAAAAACCCCATATTATAATTGGCAATATTATTATGGCATACTAAGATAGGTTTAGAGTCTATCCGTCCAGCGCTACAGACGACTGATCAATCAGAAGCAACAACAGAAGGACTGACACTGAAGATCTGATTTAGGAAGCTGATTTCTAAAAGCCTTACGCGGTATTATCTGACAAGTTTGGAAAGGAGATCAGCGTATTTTTTCAAGAAAGGTATGGACCTAATCTTCTGAGATTACATTCCTCTTTTAGAGTCCTACCTTCTACAATCAAAGTCATCTATGGAGAAGTGTTTATTGAAGAATCTATAAGTACCCATATTCGAAGAGAATTAGGGTTACGCCAAAAAGTATGAAGAAACACTCCCCATCGGCTATATGAGATTAGATCTTTGATTGTCATGCATCTTCTCAATACAATATGTTCATGGTGATTAAGATGATGAACTTGAGAATAATCACTGCTGCTTAAACGAAAGGACACTGTGATCACACTATTGTGGGAACAACCTTAAAGAGCGTCATTGAAGTGGACTGCATCAGAGTGGGCTCTCCAAGTGAAGGGATTTCATTGGACTTCTGTATGCATGGCTCTCCATCTTCAACAATCCACTAAACCTGTGTAGACTGGGTTTGTACCTTGTGTGGGGCACTTGGGTAAGATTATTATATATCTATCTTTGTACATTGGATTATGATTTATTGGATTGGACGCCTATGTGATCGTCCCCCAAACGTAGATACACACTGTATCGAACTGGGTAAATATTCTGTGTCGTTGAGTTTGTGCTGCTATCTTTCCCTTACATCCTCTATATGATCTATTATTAATGACTATCTTCGTAACTGAATCAATCAGTAATTTCGGACAGTTGACTAATCCTGTTAATTTATCAAAAAAAGAGAAAATGCAAAATTACATGTGGTATCAGAGCTTTTAAGTCTACATAGTTACTTGATCCGACGGGTTGTTTTTTTAGTTTTGCATTCTCTCTGTCTTTCGCAAGTTTTTCTGTGTGTTCGTTGGTTGGTTGTTTGTATTCAGGATGGATGCAAGTATGAAACCACCAGAACTAGATGGTCATAACTACTCTTTCTGGAAGGCTCGCATGGAGATACATCTTCAAGCACAAGGTACCAGG